CACACACACACACACACACACACACACACACAATAAATAAATGTAATAAATAAAAAAATAAATAAATAATTAAAAAAAAAAATCCAGCAGCAACAAGGCTCACATTTTCTATGGGGCTATGAGCAACAGCAGAGAAAGAAACGGTGATGGGATTGCCAACACAGCTGAACACCAGTCCCAGCCCTGAGGCCTTCCTGACTCTGTTCCCACAAAGCTGCCCCATACATCTCAGACTGAGTTCCTCTGAATCGAGGGATCAACAACCCGGGCCTTAGGGCTGGGGAGGTGGTTCAGTAGTATAAGCACTTCCCTGGCAAGCACAAGAGCCTGAGTTCAATCCCTGGTTCCGGAAAAAAAAAAAAAAATCCTGAGCCTGCCCTTCGCCCTGCCTCCTCCAGTTCTAGCCTGTTTCACCTGCCTGGGCCACACTGGAGCCAGGCTAGTGCCCCACCCGCTAGCTACAGCCAGCCTCCAATTGTAAAGCATGTTCTGAGCCAGGTGTGGTGGCCCAGGCCTGTAATCCCAGCACTTGGGGAGACTGCAGCAGGAGAATCACTGTGAGTTTGAGGCCAGTCTTGGCAACCGGACAAGAGCGTCTCTCCCCAGACTGAATCAAACCAGCAACCAGTTGCATTTTGAGTCCTTTCCCACTCCCCACCTCGGGGGTAGTGGACCCATGACGTCATCTCCACAGTCTGCTTTCCCCGCGGTTGCCAAGGGGCGCACATGAGCACCCATGGCTGGGCTTATCTCTCCAGTCTCAGGAACCTCCAGGTGACCATGTGCCCTCAAGGGTGGCCTTGAACTCACTAAGTATCCCAGACCATCTCAAATTTCTGTTGTTTTAAACCACCCAGTTTAGGGCCATGTGTTTTGGCAGCTACAGAAACCCAAAATGCCCAGGTCTTTTTCCTGGCACACTGTGAGCTTCAAGAGGTTTTTCACAGACTTCCAGGCTTGCTTCTCCAGGGTTCCCCTGGCCCAGCACTGAGCTGTCTGTCAGGAGCTATGCAGCACCATGCATCCATGAATCGTGAAGCAGGGCATGCTTTCCTACTGATAGAGAGGCAAGCATTCTTTTCTGAATCATTTTGTCACTTAATTAGTCACCTGGTAAATGCTGCAAGGCTCAGTAGTGGGCCTGGTGGCTCTGGGCGCTCGTGATGCAAAACTTATTAGAATATGGTTGCTGACCTAGAGGGAATTCTGTTGCCCTGGGAGGAGAATTTGTGGATTGTTCCTGTGAGATTGTCTCTCTTCCCGTGGGACTGAAGGAGATGGGTTTTTTACTGAGTAATCACAGAGTCTGACTACTCTGAAAAAAGCAAACTCCAGGGGCTGGGGAGATGGCTCAGTAGGATAAGCGCTTGACTGGCGAACACAAGGATCTGAGTTTAATCCCCGGTTCTGCCAAAAAAAAAAACCAAACAAACTCCACATCCAGCAGCCAGCTTGGAATCCTTAGACTCTGAAGGTTCTCAGGTCTGCAGGGAGAGGAGTGTGTGGACTTAAATTGTGAGTTTTAGTAGAAAATTGAGATGGTGGGCTTGCTGGGTAGCTCAGTTGTTTAAGCGCCTGCATGGGCAAACCCAGTCAGGTGTGGATGAACCGAAGTTTGATCCCCAGCTCCACATGCCACTCCAGACCTACCCCTTAAGGCAGCCTGTACTCTCAGCTCTTGGGAGGCTGTAAACAGGAGGATCACTACAAGTCTGATCTAGTAGTGAGACCCTGAACACCCTGTTGACTCTTTCCTAAAATACAAAAATAAAATAAAATAAAATTGAAATGATTATTGTTGATCCTTTGGTTCATGAGTGTGATGACTGGGTGTTCATGCCTTACGCATGACATGTGCCTCCCTCAAACCTTGTTACGTAGCAAGCGCAAGGGTCTGAATTCAAATCCCTGGTTCTGCCAAAAAAAAAAAAAAATGAAAAAAACAAACAACCTTGTTGTGACTTGGGCACATTACCCGTCTGACGTGAAAAAAAGAAAGAAAGAAAGAAAGAAAGAAAGAAAGAAAGAAAGAAAGAAAGAAAGGGTTATAGTTTGCATTGTGCTTTTTTGAAATGAAAGTTTGGTGCATTGCAATTTTAAGACTGGGCCAGACAGACCCATCCCTTACTTTTCTATTGGAAAGTTCTACTGTAGCATTATAGTAGCTGGCTGTGAATTTCAGTATCTTTCCCTGAGAGAAACACAAAAAGCAATCTGTATTTACTCACTTGGTATGACAAATGGCAAGTAGGGTGCATGTGTGCCAAAGTGGCAAAATGGGAGTTGGACCCACCCTTACACTCGTCAGTTTTTGCATATATTTACCCAAGCATCACAGTGGGTCCAACAGACCCACATCACTTCAGGATTTGTAGGGGGGAAAAAGAAGTTTTCTTTTAATATTTTGGTAGAAGTAGGCCAATTCAGTACAATGATACATGAAAAACCAGATTTGCAAGTTTTGGAGGAGATCAAAAGTGAATCATCAGAGGCTGGGGAGATGGCTCAGTAAGATAAGTGCTTCCCCTGGCAAGCACAAGGGCCTGTGTTCAATCCCTGGTTACACACACACACACAAAAAAAAGTGAATCATCAGATTACTCATGCATGGATAATGAAGATAGTCCATTATGGTAAATACATGCTTTCATAACAGAAGAGTTTTGGGGGCGGATGATGATGGAGGTGGTGATGGTGATGATCTTGACATTGGCCACATGGGCCAAAGTTCCTGTGACAGTGAAAGGGAACAAAAATTGATTGATACAGACACAAGGAATGCAGATCTTGATTCAGATGAGCAAGAAAACAGCAATGTGAGTACGTTATTTGATTAGTGGAAATGTGAAATGGCCACACAACCAAATGGAATGATCCAATGTTAGAACTAGGTGTGAAAATATGGTGAAGGTCTTGGCAGGGGTCAAATGTTTTAGCCAGAAGGCCAGCACTGTCTGTTACACTGGAAACTGTAACAGACAAAATGCTGCAAGGTGCTGTGAAATACACAAAGGCTGAAATGCCAGCAAAACGTTCTGCATATACCAAAGGTCATCCTCATTTTCTTTCTTTCTTTCTTTCTTTCTTTCTTTCTTTCTTTCTTTCTTTCTTTCTTTCTTTCTTTCTTTTTTTCTTTCTTTCTTTCTTTCTTTTTTTTTTTAGAAGGGCCTACAGCTTGTTCAGGGTCTCATTACTAGATTGGACTCACAGTAATCCGTCTGTTTACAGCCTCCCAAGAGCTGGGATTACAGGCGCGTGCCACCACGCCCAGTCTCGATTGCCCTTTCAGAGTGCCCTGGGGGCGTGGCCAGCCTCTGCACCCGCTGTCAGGTGCTGTAATCCGCTGACCTATTTGGCATCAGTCATAGTCAGATGTGTATTTATTAAGACACCTCCCTAGCTGAACTGAAAGCGTTCTATAAGTCTGCTATACTCAGCACAGATTTCTTTTTTTTTTCTAAATGTTTTATTATTATTATTTTTTAATTAATTAATTAATTAATTAATTTTGTGTGTGTGTGGCCAGTTCAGCCCACCAGGGGGCGGGGCTGGCCGGCATGTGGTGCTGGGGATTGAACCGCGGTCCCTGCGCTTTTGTTTAGCTTAGCTTGTTCTAAGTAGGTGCTCCAGACCACCGAACCATCTCACCAGCCCCTCAGCACAGATTTCTTACAGTGATTGCAATAATGTAAAAGATTTATAGAAAAGAGATGGGTCAAAATAAGGCATAAAAATGTATGTCCTTGCAGATGTGAGATTTATGCTTTCAATTTAGATACTTATCCTGGAACTCAGCTATGAGGTCCTTATTCCTACTGTAATAAACCACATGCTGTTGTGAACAGATTGGTGGCTCCCATCTCCCAAACCAATTGGAATGTGACATTGGACAGTTGGTTTACTGGTTTCCAATTGATGTTGCATTTGTTTACAGAGCACAAGCTGTCCAGCACAGGAACTGTACTCAGGAACAAAGCAGAAATTCCAAATGAAATGTTGCAATTTCAAAGCAAAGAACCTGAAAAACAAAACAAAACAAAACAAAACAAAACAAAACAAAACAAAACAAAACACCCTGGCAAGTCCAAGGGCCTGAGTTCAATCCCCGGTTCCGCAAAAAAAAAAAAACAAAAAAAAAACAAAGAACCTGTATAGTTCAATCTTTGAATTTCAGAAAGATGTAACACTGGTCTCCTATGTGGTAAAGGAAAGCAAACTGGTACTTCTGATGTCATTTCACCACGATGGAAATACTGATAGGGAAACCTTGACAGGACAGAAGTCCGAGATGGAGGCTTTCTACCACAAAACCGAAAGTGAAGTAGTTGTTGTTGATGAGTTAGTTATGCAGCAACTATGATGCCACTTGAAACAAAGCATTGGCCACTGGCTGTGTTTTACTAAACCCTGAACATACATGACCTAAATAGTTTAGTAGTTTACAAAGAAAATAGCAAGTGCAAAATACCACTGAGAAATTTTTTTAGAGGATTGGGATGAAGCGCATAAGAGATTATTTATAGCAGAGGAAAAACAAAACAGACTGTTTCTGCCCAGGGAAGTAGGCAAAAAAAAAAAAAAAAATTGTGGGCACACTGGTGAGCTGACAGGTGAATAGACAGGTGACCTGCTACTACTATGACAAGTGGAAACAGGAAAAATGTCAACTGTGCCCTACAAGAAAGTACAGAAAAGTAAGATACGTGTAAGTGATACTTGTGTGTGGAACATGCAGTTGTAATGTGTGAAGACTGGCTTGGGTGTAACAGTTGAAGCAAGGCTTGCTTATTTCTAGGGCCTGCTTTTGATTGCGTTTACACTGTAGTTCACACAGATGTTCATCTTTGAGGATATCTCTCTTAGGGTTTTTTTTTGCAGAGCTGGGGATTGAACTCAGGCCCTTGCCCTTGCCAGGCAAGCGCTTATTCAACTGAGCCATCTCCCTGGTCTTTTCTCTTCCATTTTTTAAGCAAGTGAACAGCTGCTGTGAAAATGTTGTCTATTCTAAGCACTCATTACATATTTGATATTTTATTTAATTGATACCTTATTTCCCTAAGTTTATACTACCCAATATAGTAGAAAGCTCCTGACAAATCAAGAAGAGAGGTGACAAGACTGCCACATAGGAAAGGAAAGCTAAGCATGTGTTCCTGTCAGTGTAAGCAGACATGTGCATGGAACATACAATTGTCATGTATGAAGACTGCCTTGGGTGTGAGTTGGCACAAAGGTTATTTTGTGGTAGAGTCCTATTGGTATTTTCATTGTAGTTCATGTAGAAATTTATTCCTGATGTTCTTTTAGGTTTTGTACGGAAGTATATAGTTGTGAAAATGTTGATTTTTTAAATTATTTATTGGATACAAGGTGTCACTATGCAGTTCAGACTCATAGTGATCCTCCTGTCTCAGCCTCCCCAGTGCTGGATTACAGGGGTTCATCACCACGCATGTGTTTGGGGCTGGTGTGGCATGCCCAGGGTTCTGGAGCTGGTATATCATGTGGTACCAGGGATTGAACTTGGGTCCTTTCACTTCCCAGGCAGGTGCTGAGACTGCTGAACTATCTCCCTACCCTTGTTGATGTCTATTTTAAACACACAATACATATTAAAATATTTATTTATTTATTTATACATATCAGGAACTGAACTCAGAACTTTGTACTTGCCATGCAGGCACTTGTGCCACCAAGCTATATCCCCAGACCATGTATTAAAAATTTAGTTATTTTATTCATATTTTATGTTCCTGTTAACCACACACTGTATAATATAATCAGAAACTCCTGAGTAAGGAACAAAACCTCTGAGTGCCAAGTATGCCCTACAGAAAGGCCAGGAAAGCAAAAGATATGTGCTGTCAGTTAAGTGGCATGTGGGTATGGAACGTGCTGTTGTCACGTGTGTGGGCTGTCCTCGGTGTGAAAATTGGAGTAAAGATTCTTTTATTTGTTTGTTTTGTATTTAGTACAGGGTCTCCAGGGTCTCACTACGTAGATTCAAAGTGATTCTCTTGTTTTCAGCCTCCCAAGCACTGGGATTACAGGCGCGCATCACCACACTCAATCTCAATTGCTGTCTCACTCAGCACGCCCCAGGGGTGGGGCCGACACAGCAGGCCTGGGAATTGAACCCTGACTGCTCTGCTGTGCCTAAGCAGGCACTTCAGTCCACTGAGGTATCTGGCCAGCCCAAGATTTTTTTTTTTAGATTATCTTTGGAAAGTCCTATTGGCATTTTCATTGCTGTTCATAGGGGCATTTATTTCTCTCTCTCTCTCTCTCTCTCTTTTTTTTTTTAACACTTTGTACACCAAAAAACAATTGAGGGACTGGGGAGATAGCTCAGTGGAATAAGTGCTCGCCTAGCAAGCGCAAAGTCCTGAGTTCAATCCCTGGTACCACATAAAAAAAAAAAAAAAGTTGATGTTGAAAATTTTGATGCTTCTTACAATAATAAATATTAAAAACTCAGTGTTTTATTTTTGTGACTTTTTTCCTATTAAGTACTTATTGCTTAATACAGTAAAATTCATAGAATTAAAATTAATAATTCATCAATTGAAATATTTTGGCGAATAAACCCATGTTTATGCCCCTTAGTGACAAAATTAGCCTCACACTCTGAGGGTTCAGATACTGACCACATGTCTTGGGGATTTGAAGATATGCAATAAAATGACAAAAGTAGGAATGGTGGTACACACCTCTTACCCCAGCATTCTGGGAGCCTGAGGGAGGAGTATCAAAAGTTTGAGCCCAACCTGGACAATTTAGGGACTTAGCAAGACTGTCTCAACATAAAAAATAAGAAGGGGCTGGGGATGTACCGTGGTGTAAAGGTCCTGTGTCTGATCCCCAGCGGCCCCTACCCCAAAAGATACAGGCATTCCTTCT